AAATACCGTACATTTACCGTACTTTTTATGTAAATACAGTACTTTTATATACGGTAATAACTTTGGACCGTATGCCGTACAATAATCGAAATTACCGTACAAGTACGGTAATTACTGTACGCTTGGCAACCCTGGCCGGAATAAAGTTTAAAATTTGGTGTATTTCTTTGCATCCGTTCATGAGTTATCGAGTATACAAACACACACAGACATTATCGCGAAAATAGTCAAAACGGATTCAGGGGACCTCAAAACGTAAAATCCATCAAAACATTATCGAAAAAATCACAATTCCTATACTTTCCTTATCTGTATACAGATAGGAAAGTAAAAAACAGTTGTTTCTTGCACAAACTATATTTAAAATTTTAACACATTAACAAAAACCTATATTCTAAGCAACAAAACTGTTTATTCTAACTTAAATTAAAAAGAAGGAAAAAATAATTAATAAAATAAACAGATTTTAACATTATTTTATTAACATTAGTATTTTAACACAAACACATAATTAAAAACATATATTCTAAATTCTAAATACAAAAACTTTTTAGTATAACATTTATAACTCTAATTAAAAAGAAAAAAAAAAGAAAAAAAAACATATTTTAACATTATTATGTTAACATTGATTGGTATATCCTCATTTGATGAATTATTATTATCAATAATATTATTCCTATTGGTGACAATAACTTCAGAATCTTCAGATATGGCTGGTTTCCATGCCCAGTCAAGGTTGGTTTTCTTTTTGATTATATTTTAATTCATACACTTAAACAACAAAAACAAAACAAATAGTGGCGAAGCTGGGAATCCCAAAGTGGGCGCGGCGATGCTTGCGTGACCGCCGAATAAATCGGTACAGTTATTATACTTTTGTAAAGGGGCGTACTGAGACATTTTTGTATATTTAGAATGGTGGAAAACATTTTTAATTAAATCAATCAAATTATAGAATATATCGGAATATATCAAGGCATTAATATCATGATATATCCTCCGAACACTGGTTAAAAGTTTATTTTTATATCCCTATTATAATATACACCTAATGCAATGTATTTTACTCAACTTTTTCTTCTACCCAAATAATATTGTTGCTGCTGCTGTTGTTATTATATTACCTACCTATGTCTTTTTTTAATAGTTCTATTATGCATTTTGCATATTTTTTAGCATTATGGTAAAATAAGTGCATATTTTAAATAAAAAGTATGCACATTTGTGTGCATAATAATAAATATTGATGCATATATTCTGCTCTCTACTCATATGTAATTAGTCCAGAAAATTAAAACAAAACAAGCAAAAAACAAAAAGAAGCGAAAAAATCAAAACCAAGCAAAAAAACGAGCTAGATAAAACCTATTAAGTTTAGGACTTACTCCTTATTAATGTATTTAGAGAAATTTGTATTATTTAAATAAACTGTGAAATATTGTAAGCATAGAACTTAAAAATGAATTAACAGAAAATAAACTTTATTAAAATTAAAGATTGACTGGCCAGTTGGTTTTGAAACCAGTGCCAAACAGAAATACATACAAACACAGTTTAAAAAAAAATCCTGTGAATCAGGGTTACAAAGTACATTTTGTAACATTTAAACTAAATTAGACAAATATAAAGATATTGTAGCAGAATTTTTGGACTTAAAAAAGAGCTTGTGAGACAACTGACAGGCAAATAATTGAAACAATATAGCATTGGGGGTAGAGTATTGGCTTGGTAACTGTTTAAATAATCGCAAGCAAAGAGTCTGTTTTGCTGATCAAACACATCCTATGACATAAATAATGATATGGGGATTCCTCAAGGAAGCGTATTGGGTCCTCTACTTTTTATTTTATACATTAATGATACTGAACTTTTTGTCGATTGTGAATTTATTAATCTTTCTGCTGACAATATTTTAATAGTCTGTAGTGATGCGATTTTGGATAAAGCTATAGAGAAAATGAATGCTTTATTATTATCTATGAATACATACTCAAATCTAAATAAACAAAAAATTAAAGAAAAGGAAAACAAAATCAATGGTTTTATCAATGTGAAAAATATAAGTTTGAACATTAATAATGAATACATTGAAGTTGTTTCTAATATCAAATACTTTAGATTTCAACTAGATATTTATTTAAATTTGGATAGCCACTTTAATAATACATATTTATAAAAAAAACTATATTTCTTTAGTACTTATCATTTCCCAGAAATTATCAACTGATACCAAAATCACTGTACACAATAGCATAATTCAGCCACATTTTGATTATTTGTATTTATTAAATTTAAACAAATTAAACATACTTCAAAATAGTGGAATGAGAATAATAGTGAAAACAAATCATCTTACAATTTGTTCATAAACGACCTTCTCAATGATTTTTTCAATACAACTTAACATACTAATAGGCCTTAAATCTGAAACTTTATTTTGAGTTTTTTGTCTTTGGAACAGGCACTGCCATAGCAATTTTTTGAGCATTAGGTATTTTTGAAATTTCTAATAACGGATTTATCAAATTTAAAAGTGGTTCTGAGAGGTCAGAAAATTTGGTTAAGATGTGGTGATGGCATCTGCACGATTTTGAAGTTGGTTTTTTAAAATTGCTTTTAATTTTGGTTATTCTTTTTTATATGTATATTAGGATTCCTAATTCAATAAAGACCTATTTATATATCTATAGATATACATCCCTTTGACATACACAGAAACACAAGCCATTTTTGAGTTTATTTGTGGAATATTTAGACCTCGTATTCAAGTTATGTACTGTATGTTGAATGTTGATATGTAAAAGCTGTATTTAAAAATTTAGATCTATACACATAATCTGGTGAATGAAAACACTAAGTCTGGTATTTATAAATCTGTTCAATTTACATATAATTTCAAAATGTCTATATAAAAACTCAATAATAAATGGGGAGTATATACCTAAATTAAATTGTGGTAGTTGTCCAAAATTGTATATTGGTCAAACAGGCTGTACTTTCAAAAAATGCTATTCAGAACATTACAAAAGTTATATTAAAAACAAACAATTCTACTTTTTCAATTAAAATTTTGGCTGAAAATCAATCTTTTATAGAAAATTTAGGGACACTTGAAATAAATAGATTTAAAATTCAGATAACCAACCTATTAAATGATCAATTAGATATTAATAACTCACCTTTATTAAATCTCTTTACTTGTTCTTAGTTTTCTGTGATTTAATCCCAATAATACAACTTCTCTGAATGTATTAAAGTTAGCCTATTTTGGGCTGGTACAGTCATTATTAACCTACGGACTAACTTTTTGGGGAAATTCTTTATATACTGTGAAAGTATTTATAACTCAGAAGAAAATAGTGAGATGTATAACTGGTTCCTACTATAGGGCATATTGCAAGAATTTGTTTAAATCTTTGGAAATATTAACATTGCCATGTCTCTATATATATTTGACCACATTAAACATTAAGAAAAATGAATCTCAATATATTCGAAATAACATGATTCATGAACACAACACATGGAGAGGCAATGACTTAAGACTGCCATATTCCTGGCTGACCATTGGGCAGGGTTCTGTGGGTTATCAGAGCATCATCTATTTTAATCATATAACTAGGCTTTTGGGTAATGGTAGTTATAATGTTTTTAAAACCAAACTTTTTAAATATTTAGCTGAAAATGAGTTTTATTCTGTAGAAGAATTCCTGCAGATTTCTTAATCATTTTAATTTAAATTTAGATTTATATATAAATATTTTTTATTCTTATTAGGCATAGAAATTTTAGATATATGTTGTATTTTTTAACTAAGTTAGTGGCACTGGATATAAACCAACAGGCCAGTCAATTGTCAGGAGAACAAATAAAAATATATAACAAACTTTATTATTTTACAAATTACAAATTGCTTTACCTTAATAACTAAAATAACCTGAACTTAATATGGTTTAAATGTTTTGTTTATTTTTTTGTTTTTTTCTACTATTTTTTTTTCTTTTTTCTCTGTTGTCTTAATTTTTTTTTCTTCTCTTAACAATTTTTTTGAGTCAGGTATACAAATTTTTTTAATGGTAGCATCACTACTTACATGTTTTATTTCTATTTCCTAATTACAATTTTAATTTGAGTGTTTTGACGAAATTATAGAGTATATTATATATACTGTCAAATGTTAGTAGATTTTTAAATTTATAGGTAACTGAATTTTGTTGTTAATTAAGTTTTGGTATAATAAATTAATTAAAATAAGCAAAAAAGGTTGACAGCTGTGTGCACCTAGTTTAGATTCAAAAGGAAATATGTACTTGTATTTTTGCATGAAATACAAGTCTTTCCTTTTGAATAATAAATTACTTTCTAAATCATTTAGAATACAATCCAAAAATATATGTTGTAAATCAGCAATCTCATCACAAATACACAAATCATTATCTATTATACCTATTCGCTTCATATGTTGAGGGTATAAAAAGTGCTATATATTGTATTGTTCTATTTCTTTTTTTTTTTTGACAAGTCTCATAAATGTACATTTTGTTGTGTATTCAAACATATGTATGTGTACATTTGATAGATGAATAAATGATTTTTTATTTATTTAATAATACCTTATTGGACTTATATTAATATATTTCTTAAGTACTTTAACTAGTTAATTTACTTTGTATATACATCAAACACCGACATTTGAAGAAGTTATACTTTGAAACAATTGTCATAAAGAAGTTTTAATTTTAATTTTTAAAATAAAAGTAAAAATCTATCAAGTTTGGTTTTTCTCATTTATACATAAATGAAGATTTGTCTAGATTAAGAGTAAGTTTATGTTACCCTACTTCAATAAAGTATCTGTCGATTAAAACCCTATTTTCAAGGAAAAAATGGTCAGTTACATTTTGACTAATTATAAGACTAAATTATTAGGCCAATTAATTGTATCATCTTAAGAATGATGTGGAAAATGTATTTAGCCAAGTTAAAAGTTACAGTACCTGCATAAAGGCCTCCTTTTCAGCCTTCTCCTCGGCTTGCCTTTGTCGCCTCTCCTCCCTGTTCTTCTTCAATTTTTCTACTTCCTTAACTACATTGCTTCTTCTGGAATTTTGAGCGGCCGTCATTCTACTCGTTGGTATGTTGCTTTCTTTCGGTTCGCTGCTTGAAGTCAACGTATGGCCATTATTGGCCCCTAAGGTCATACGGGATTGATGTGCAGACTTTATACTTATACCATTATTCTGTTTGATGCTACTAGCTATGGACTGTCTCGTAGGGTCGCGCTGGAGCTTGTTAAACTGCGCTTGTGCTTGTGTAATAGTCCTGTCTTGAACGGCGGGTTTCTCGCCGTGCCTAAGGATGATTATATCTGGATTTAGGGACTCTATAGCGGCCATATCTATTTCTTTTCCCTTCGTTTCGCCTTGTTCGAACCATTCCACGGTGGCGCATCGCAAATCGTCGTTGATAGCGGCAACGATAGCTGAATGAATTCGCCCATCTGTCCGTTTGATGTTAATGCTCGAGCCCACTTGCAAAATATCAGCCATGTCCATAACTATTTACTGCATTCGTAAAAATAAAACAACGATTAAACGATTATCACAGCTCGATTGAATATTAAATTTTACCTATTTTTCGAGACACTTTCAAATTACTAACTGTCTTTCAGCCGTTGAAGCATCTTTCTTTGTCAATTATTCGAGGTTATCTTCTTCTTTCTAACATGGCCTTCGCTATTAGACTCCAAGCCAGACGTAAGTTTACCATTTTTGGTAATGATTAACAACTTGTAGGCTGATCATGGTCAAGGGTCTTGAAGATTACTCATTCCTTCCACTACCATTTACAACGTATCCCTCTTTTTTAAAAAACCAGACAGAAACCGAAATTAATATTCAAATTTCTCGCTTCTTCCCTCCAATAGGGGTCCAAGTTCTTTTTGGAATATTGATATTTTTATCGGTGATGATTTGACACCAACGCATTAATTCAGCCAATTATAGTTTGTTTTGGTCGACATCTGATCGAAACGGTACGATTTTATTGGTTAATATTTAAATTCTGCATATATGTACTTGTTTAAATTGCTACTTTCGGAAATGTAGTGTTGTCTTTTTTAAACGATTGCAGTGTTTGAATTAAAACGAATTGAGGAATGTCGGCAACTGGTTATACAAATTGTTCATTACAAGACTACGTTGTAGGCAACTTACAATACTTGATTTCTTTTTAAATATATGAGCCGTTTATTTTGAAAGTGGCCTTAACTCCTTTTATACTTAAATTGAGATATCTAAGAGTTTGCGTAAATTTTGTTTAACTGCATTAATTAAACGTACTGATTATTCAACTAATGCAATTGTCTAAAAACTGGGGTTAATTTGTTATAAACTATATAATTAATTAAAATTACCTTCATCACTGCCTTCGGACATTATATCGATAATAAGGACTTTCAAAATAAACGGCTCATATGTTTTTCACATAAAAGCATGCATACCTATACGGGGTGATAATTTAAAAACTTACAATGACTATTATAATATATCTCATGAACTAATATGTTGTCAGAAAATGCTTTAAACCGTTTCTAGAATATGAAGTGGGAACTTAAATGAAAAAAATACAGAATTCACCCCATCAATACCCTTAACAAAAAAATAGCAACCCTCTACTTGATATTGGAAAGCTAGTAAAAAATGATTTTCCCTTGTACAGGGCGATTTAGTAGTATATGAAAACCCATTTAAAAATAATAAGATAGCATATTATTATCTTAACTAAAGGTATTTCCAAGGCGTACAAAATAAATTGTTTTTAGTATGTTTTACTTTTCTGTCATCTTAGTTCATAAAATGAAGGGCAGTGTCGGCCGTAAACCGACTTTCCGAGGGGCCATTGCGATTATCCATTTCCTTTCAATATATTTTTTTAATAAAATGTTCATTTTAAGAATTTTAATCTCCGAGTAGTCTTATTTGCTTTATAATACTCTTTTTATGTTTCTAACTATATCCAAGTTAAAGAAAAGTAAATACACATAGATAGAATAACGTGACTGGGGCTAGTAAACAGGATTGCATTAAAAGGGGTTTATAAAAAAAATAATCGAAATTATTACTTAATATATTTTTTTGATGACTCATATTTTTATTTTAATAGGTACTATTTAAAACTGTACAAATTAGTGGATCGTATTCGAGATATTTGAGGAAAAGAGTAAATTTAGAATTTTGAAGAAAACTCAAAAACGGATAAAGAGAAAAACAAAATTTCAAACTTAAGCTTTAATCTATCCTGCGGTGAGCTGACTAAATTTTGGGCATAGTGGAAGCATCTGGGGGGGGTACTTATAGGGTGTCGTTTTTTTACTTCAAAGAATATCTGTTATTTACGATTGTAGAAGAAAATTTTTAAAATAAAAGTTGTTTGCGATATTTTTTCTATAATTTTTGGATTTAGCTGCGTTGCTTGCTTAATAATGTTTTGTACTAAGATGTGAAAATGGGAATGTTATACAATTGAAAAAACTAGTATGAAAACAATCGTCTGAATTATTAAAAACTAAATTGAGGTGTTGATAGTAGACTTTTGAATCTTAAGTTTAAGTTGTGAACACCTGTACTAAAGGATACTTTTCTATAAAAAATAAATTGGGATTTTATGCAAGACAAGTTTGTGGTATAGTGTTTTATGATGAATTTGTCAGTTTTCCATATTTATATTGTCACGCTTCGTATAAATTCATATTTTTGCTAATTTTAATTAATTATTTAAATAATATCCTGTATATAAAACTTTGTTTAAGTATGTCGACAATTTGTTTTGAATCGCAATCATGTGCAAGGTTGATTATTTAATAATTATTAAACATTAGTTTGATAACAATAAACTATGAAAAAGTTATAAAGGTAATGTCGAGGGGATGTACAGGGCTTTTTTTCCACAGGGAAGGATCCTGCCCATAGGAGACCCCCCTTGTAGCAGATCCAGCTCATGGTCTTCATAGTCTAAATTAAAGTATTTATTTTGTATTTTGAATAGTTAGCTAAGGGTTGTGACATCCCAGAGAGCACACCAAATCCTTTGGATATCTACTGAACATCCCCATATCCACTGAATGTCCAGTCCATGGTAGATATCTATTTTATATCCATGAAATGTAATTTATAGACATGCTAATGTCCATAAATAATAGTAATTATATAGCAAATTATTAAAAAATTACGCCATTGTGCTCGCCATTGTGGCTAATAGTACCGTTCAGATATTTAAAATTAATTTTTTTAAGGTGTATTCAATATCCCATGAACATCCACTAAATATATCAAAGTCCAAGCGCGAACGCAAACCATCGTGGATATCCACTAGATGTTATTTGATTCTGCTTACTAAGTATAGATGGCGATACCACTATCGCATCTACTCATGCTCGACCCGCTGTAATTGAGTTCGATTGAAATGTGTGTCCTAATCACTCCATTAGAGACTGGAGTCGAGAATTTTCATTTATTGCTGAAGAGTCCTAATAAGGATGACTTTCTCCTTAGTGGGCAAAATCAAAGGCAGAGTGTTGAAAATATTTTGAGTGTTGAAAATATTTTTTATCTCTGCTATATTCATTCGACGTTATTCAATAATCATTGGTTACTTATGAACCTCTACTAAAGATACCCATAAAATATTTTGCTGAATATCCGAATATCTTATACATCCTAGGATATAGACGGACATTTGGTTGGATATCCATATTGGATATATTGAATATCCACAAAATATATTCTGTGGATATCTCTGTGATTTCTTGTATTTTCTGGAAGATACTCATTAGATATTTTGCTGAATATCCATTAGGAAATCTTCTATATCCTGGATATAGACGGACATTTGGATATCCATATTAGATCCACGGAATATTTCTGATATCCTGTGGATATATTGGATATCCACAAAAGATATTCTGCGGATATCTCTGGGACGTGGTGTGTTGTCTGGGATATGTGCCCCCAATATTAGTGGAGTTGGTAAGTAAGTATTTTATTGTCTTTTATATTGAGCCTATATTTGTGTATGTCGAGTTAAGACATATTTTATATAATCGTTTTAATTATATTGTATTTCTTTTGAGAACACTGTTTTTTCAGCCCTTGTTAGGTTCTTACATCAAGAGTCTAATACAGTTAAGGGCTACGAAGCCAAGTTTAAGGCAGTATAGAGTTCTTACGTTATGTAGGCCCAGTGTTATAGTTCGTTATACAACCCCTGATACATAATTCCCATAATTATTTAAAACACATTAAACGACATTTTTATTAAAAACACGCTTAACGTGACAATATGTATAGTATATAATTTAATAGATCCATATTTTTAATTATTATTTCTCAACAATTTATTGAAATTTTATAAATTAATGTAGGTATATAAAAAATTGTGTCCACAATAAATCCACATACTGGCTTAGCCTTTGTGAATTTACCTTTATAAGGTAACTAATAATAATAATAATAATGTGTTTGTTAGCCAAAAAATACAGAAATTTACAACTAAGAGTAATTAATTACGTAAATATAAATAAATCGGTATAAATAAATGTCTAAATCGGTATACATGTCTAAAATCGGTATATATGTCTAAATCGGTATAGGTATAAATTTAAATTGATAGTGTAAATTGATACACTACTTTAGACCAGTATGTAAGTAAAATATACATAAGAGTAAATAATTTGACTCGGTATGTAAGTATTATTTTGTTTATACACATAATTTTTTGAATATACTTTTATTTTCTTTGGATGAATTTATTTTTGATTTATTATGTTCTCAACCCAGACAGCACACCAAATCCTTTGGATATCTACTGAACATCCCAATATCCACTGAATGTCCAGTCCATGGTGGATATCCATTTTATATCCATGAACTGTAATTTATAGACATGCAAATGTCCATAAATAATAGTAATTATATAGCAAATTATTAAAAAAGTACGCCATTGTGGCTAATAGTACCGTTCAGATATTTAAAATTAATTTTTTTAAGGTGTATTCATTCAATATCCCATGGACATCCACTAAATATATCAAAGTCTAGGCGCGAACGCAAACCATCGTGGATATCCACTAGATGTAATTTTCGATTTTGCTTATACTAAGTATAGATGGCGATACTACTTTCGCATCTACTCATGCTCAACCCGCCGTAATTGAGTTCGATCGAAATGTGTTTCAGAATCAGACTCCATTAGAGACTGGAGTCGAGAATTTCCATTTATTGCTAAAGAGTCTTAATAAGGATAACTTTCTCCTTAGTGGGCAAAATCAAAGGCAGAGTGTTGAAAATATTTTTTCTCTGTTATTTTCCTTCGACTTTATTCAATAATCATTGGTTACTTATGAACCTCTACTAAAGATACCTATAAAATATTTTGCTGAATATCCGAATTCTTCTATATCCTGGGATATAGACGTACATTTGGTTGGATATCCATATTGGATTGTATTGTCTGGAAGATACTCATTAGATATTTTGCTGGATATCCATATGTGATATCTTCTATATTCTGAATATAGACGGACATTTGGATATCCATATTAGATCCACGGAATATTTCTGATATCCTGTGGATATATTGGATATCTACAAAAGATATTCTGTGGATATCTCTGGGATTTGGTGTGTTGTCTGGGAATATTTGACCTGGATTGACAAAAAATCCATTTTTTAAGATTTTTCTCTTTTTGTATTTCGATAGGAATGAAATTATAAATTCGAGAAGCCAAATATGAAGAAGATCTACAACCTATTAATTTGTTTTTTCGGGGTAAGTAATATTTATTTGCTTTATTTCTAGTTTGGTGCAGATGTCTGGTTTTATCGAGTTTAGTCTTCCCCTTATATATAATTATCGCTATTTTCCAAAAATAAAGTTGTCCAGGGTCAAATACCTTTTGTTCTGAAAATAAAATATCTTTAATATCCATTTTTGTATTATATTTTTACTTTCCTATCTGTATACAGATATAAGGAAAGTATAGGAATCATGATTTTTTTCGACCTCGAGTTTTCGACGGATTTTTACGTTTTGAGGTCCCCTGAATCCGTTTTGACTATTTTCGCGATGATGTCTGTGTGTGTGTGTGTGTCTGTGTGTGTGTGTGTCTGTATAACGCATAACTCATGAACCGATACACGGAAAAACACCAAATTTCAAACTTAAGCTTTGTTCCAGCGTCTAATGAGCTGATTAGATTTTGGGCAGAGTCGGAACATCTGGGGGGGTACTTTATAGGTGGTCATTTTTATATTTTATGGAATATATCTGTTATTTACGTTTGGAGAAGAAAATTCTTCAAATAAAAGTTACTTCTAATATAATTATCTATAATTTTTGTTATATACAAAATTTTCCTAAAATGGTCCGTATTCGCGAAATTTGACAAAATGTAAAAAAAATAATTTTTTATAAAAATTGTTCAAATAAAAGTTGTTTGTAATATAATTCTCTATAATTTTTATTCTTTAGATAATTTCTCTAAAATGGACCGTATTCGAGATATTTGAGAAAATGTGTAAATTTCGAAATTTGAAGAAAACTCAAAAACGGATAAAGAAAAAAACATTAAATTTTAAACTTAAGTTTTATTTCGGCCTGACGTGAAATGATTAGATTTTGGACAAAGTCGGAACATCTGGGGGGGTACTTTATGGGAGGCCGTTTTTATATTTTAGGGAATATATCTGTTATTTATGTTTGGAGAAAAAAATTGTTCAAATAAAAGTTACTTCTAATATTATTATCTATAATTTTTGCTTTATGTAAAAATTTCCTGAAATGGTCCGTATTCGAAAAATTTGACAAAATGTGCAAAATTCTGATTTTTATGAAAATTGTTGAAATAAAAGTTGTTTGCGATATCGATCTCTATAATATTTGTTCATACATGATTTTTTTAAAATGGACCGTAATGGAAAAATTGTAGGAAAAGTGCTAAATTTAAATTTTTCAGTATTTTCATTTTCAATGAATATCTATAGAAAAATGTTTCGAGGTAGATGTATGTGGACAATGTATATATTTAGTTTATCCTCTAAACATTTATAGAGATGCTGCAATAGGTTGTACAAAATAACCGGAAGAAGCCTGTAATAACTAGATAGGAAAGTCATGTGTTGGACACATCAGATTTTTTAGATAAATATTATAAACGCCACCCCACCCTAGTATACCATAACTCAGTTGAGATTGAACTAAAGAGAAATAAAGAGTATGCAAGTGTTTTTTGTCTAAAATGTTTCTTAAATATTTAAATCTAGATAATAAACCTCTAATTTTGTTTACAACATTTTTCAATTGTAGATCCCATTTGAAATGCTGATCAATGATAATGCCTAAATATTTTATATTTTGAACTTGTGGAATGGTTATGTTGTCAACATTTAAGGTTCCGAAGTGCGGTAGGTTATTATTGTAAGACGTGAAAGTAATAAATTTAGTTTTTTTATAATTAACTGTTAATGTATTTAATTGAAACCATTTAGTTATTGTTTTAAATTCCATTTCTGCTTGTTCTTTAAGCTTACTCCATGAATTATCACTATAGACGATAGCAGAATATCGTCAGCAAAACTGATCACTTTACCTTTTAATTCAAGTTCTAAAAGGCTATTTATGTATAAAGAAAAGAGTAAAGGACCAAGTACCGTACCTTGAGGTACACCATAGTTAATGGAATTTAGGGAACTTACAGTATTACCTAATTGAACACACTGAAACCTGTTAGGACCGATTCCACCGTTGTGTTAAACGAAGTTTAAAATGACATTATTACATTAACAATGTCATTTTAATCTCCTTTTAACACAACGGTGGAATCGACCCTTAGTTAGACATGATTTTAATAAATCATAGATTTTTCATCTTAGACCATATGATTTTAATTTATGTAGAAGTGTTTTATGACAAACTGTATCAAATGCCTTAGCTAAATCTATAAAAATACAAAGTGTAGGCTTTTTTTCATTGAAAGCGTCATAGATACAGTTTGTCAGATCACTTATTGCATCTTCTGTTGATTTGCCACATCTGGAAATGAAACTATTCTATTTTTAAGTATTCTTTCAATAATCTTTGATATATTGGTCTATAATTAATCATTTGGTCTTTTTCACCTCCTTTATAAAGTGGTTTAAGTACGCCAATTTTAAGGACATCTGGAAAGGACCCTGATTCTAGAACTACATTAATTAAATGTGTAAGAGGAGTAACAATGTTTAATTTGTTTTAAAATTTCACTTCTAATTTGATCTTGACCCGATGATTTAAATAAATAATTATTGTAATAACTGTTTGTGTAATAAATATACCTTCTATTAACAGTGTATAATCCTCGAGTATGTCATAGAAGAAATCTTTAGAAAATCCAAATGATAAAACTTTAATTATTAATTTTCCATTATTATGGACCTCGGAAATAAGATTAATACAACAAAATATCATCACATTTTTAAAAATAAAACAAATATCTATTTCTAAATTTTTTTATTATACATTTTTTAAATAAGACAGTTTATTTACAGATTTACATTCAAAATATGTTCTTTTGGCACATTTTTATTACTTTTATTGAGACATACCACTACTTAAAAATAAAAGTACTTCCAAGAATTTATCTTATTTGAATAATAAAAAAATCACTTTTTTACTTAAATCATACAGCAATAATCTTATTACAGGGCCCACTATATTTAATTAAATATAATTATATAGAAATGTAGTATCTCCTAATATCAATATCTTTCGATTTTTGATTGGTTTTATTATAGTTATACATTATAATGTTCAGATATAACCTATTAGGCAACATTTTATTTCAAATAAAACAACCTTTACTAGCAGTAGAATATTTCTTTTCAGTAGCCAGCCCTGCAGTTCTAGAAGAACAAAATAGTAGAAAAATAAACCTACATTACTCTATTTATTAAAAGAAACTAAATCAACCCCTAATAATAATATTCATCTTCATCAATATCCCCAAAATACAAATCATTCTTGAAACTGGTAGTCTCTACACCCTTATGCTTAGCCTTAAATGCAGCATATTTCTTTCCAAATTTGCTAACATCATTATCATCCAAGGCATCTTGGTATTCACCGTCACTATCCACACTATAAACGAACTTTTCTTCCTCAGAATCACTGGATAGATCTTCCAATTCAACATTTTTCATTGCTTTGACCATATCGTCTTCATTTATAGATTCCATGTCATCTTCATCTGGATAATCATTCCTCCAATTGCACTCAGCATTCGAATCTTCACTATCTTCTGAGTCGGAATCGTTTATACCGTTATCTCTGGTGGATCCAGTGATTAAAGGATCGTTTAATGGATATATACTTACGTAATCTTCTAATTGAGCTTCACCGAAGTCAGAATTCGTGTAGTAGAGATCATATACATACCTGCTATCAGCTTCGCTGTTTTTATTAGCAGTATTAGCGTCATTTTGATTGATATCAGTCTCTACATCAAGAATGGTAACTTCTTTGTCTTTGTTACTAGTGTCTAAACTAGGAGAACGAAAAAAGTTAACTATTTTATATCTGCTATTCTTAGAAGCCTCCTGATGTTCCAATCTTAGTTTGTCTGTTAAATTAACGGTATGTCTCTTAAAATTCGTTTTCAACTCCTCGGGATCTGGTAGTTTTTTATCCTTCAAGTGTGCTAGGATGTTCTCGTCTTCTTTGATCGTTCCAGCGAATTTGAGAACTGCTGTCGAGATATCTTCAATTGCGGAGTCGTCTGTGGTGCTGTCGAGGTCTACTTTACGTTTTTTGCATTTTAAAATGAACGTATCTAAAGGATCCTCGTCTAAACATCTTTTAACTCGAATTATAGCAGCCATTTTCTAACCTTTTTGCTTTTTAAATTTGACATTCATTTACTTTTGTTTGACATTTGACATACATCTGACATATCAAAATGAGTTTTAATCAATGATATAAATTATATAGATTGCCCAACCATATGTATATAAGATCATGAACAGAATCGGCCCGGCCCAAATCTGATTTAAAATCAAATTTTAGACTGAATATTTGTTTTTCTACACCCGTATTATAATAATGCACTTATATGCCCAAAATCCGTTTCATAATGATACCCATTATGATACAGATTTTTCATTACGATACAGATTTTTAATCAATAGAAACCTATTTTTCAATCAAGCATGATGTTTGACGTTTGTCCTAGGTTTCTATGTAATTGTTTTAGTTGTCAAAACGTATTAAATTTTCGTAGATAGCTAAACTTCGATAATTATAATATTAAAATGTCTCATATCAGCGATATAGAAGACTCTTCCACACATATCGGAGAAAGCAGAAAATACAGTACAAAATATTTTGCAGCAAAAATCTAGGGAAATACCAATACCCGAAGTAATACCATTAATTACAATTTTGTAGAATTTTTATAGAAATACGAGTAATTACTGTTATTGTGTTCAATACCAATATAAATATAATATTTATAGGTCTTGATTATTTATCGGGTGTAGAAAAAATAGCGTATGCAACTCTCATGTAATGGTTATTAAAACACTCGCATAAACCATACGAAACTCGCCTTTGGCTCGTTTCGTATCCCGGTTAATGCTCGTGTATTAATAACCATCATTACATGATCGTTGCATAATATACTATTAACGGCATGAGCTTATGCTAGGTATTTTGATAAATTTATTTATGTTAAATATTTAAGACCTCTCTCGTTTCAAAAATAACACTAAATGAAATGTCAACAATATTGATAAGAAATATAAATAACTGATATTAACATTTATTCATACAATTTTAAAATCAGATGCACAAGAAGATCAATCATATTTAGCTTTATTCGGATATTACCAAAAGACACTATAGATTTTTAACATTTAAAGTTAGTAAAATATGTTTTGACAATTTACCCAGCTAGCACAAATAAAACATCCCATCTACTTTAATAAGCTGCAATTTTATGCCCTTTAAGCTCGCATGTAACCCTAATATCCCTGCAACCGCCGAATGTCCGCAACGGGAAGACTTTTATAGCACATCTCACAGAGGTTACAAAGTGAAGTTCGAAAAACATCGCACTACCACTTTTAGGGTACTTACACCGAATGTTGCTCTGAAACGTTTTATAAATGTTATAATGTGATTTAGTTCGACTGCATTATATAGTGTGTTTACGGATGGTGTTATATAGTCTTCTTTAGACAAGTTTGTAGTATTTACTTTTGCTTCTAAAATTTCTTGATTGTTATCGGGTACAAAGGAAACCTAAAATATATTTTTAAAATGTATTTTTAGTTGGATTAAGTATATTATTACCCAGAAGTTAGTTTTGTATATATCTTTTATAAGTATTTGGTGTAAAATGTAACTGGACATTCGGTTAAAAGTTTCTTCTCGTTTACTACGATTTATCTGATATTCTTTGATTTTATTGTAGTTAAACCTGTTTGTATTGGGTACCTAATGAATTAAATATTACATTTACACCAGGGTGCGTATGCTTGAAAACGAGAGAAACTGAAACTTTATTCACTTTATTTTCACTTTCCCAAAAAATTGGTATTCCTGAAATAACGTAAAAGCCAAGGGAGGAGAAAGTAGATGGTGAACATAAACACAGAATTGCCAGATCGTTTTAGATCATCAGACCAATTAGAAACTACGAACTTTTGACAGAAAATGACACTGCTGGCATTTTAATATTTAAAGTTTTTATTTGTTTTTATCGACAACGGAATGTTGACTTTTTCACGTATAAACATTTTAAAATGCTATTGGGGTCTTTTCTGTAAAAATTCCTTTATATTTAACGGCATTTAAAAATATTTTCTTCTTTAATTCAGTCACTATTTAAACGGATCTTTAAAATACATTAGAGGACTATCTTAAAAAAATCTGTTTAAATAATGATAGAAGTAAATTAACAAATACGAACATATTTTTATAGGCCGCCAATATTTTTAAAGGCCGTTAAATATAAAGGAATTGTTACAGAATATACCCCATAGTTGATTAAAAATAATATTAACTGTCGTTTTAAATAATTATCAAACTAGAAATTTAAATGTCTTGGCAATAATTCAAGTTTGAACATCCTTCTAAATGTGTTTAAAACTCTACGATTCTAGAAGGTATTACTTTCCTAAATAATCATTTTAAAAACATGAGTCAAAGTCCAAACAAATTGAAGAAAAGATGTGAAGGAGTTATTACTATTGGAAAAGGGGAGTATTATATATTGTGCGGGGATAGTTTTACACTACCCATTTTGTCATTTTGTGTAAAATTTATCTATATTGAATAAAAATTATTCTTATTATTTTCGCTTCTAAATCCATTTTAAAGGGAAAGTAAATACCGCTAATGTATAAATATACTTGAAAACATCCTGAAAACTACTAATAACATCAATGAGGTTATAGTAATATTTTGATTTTTATTTATTTAAATTCTGACATGCACTGCGCATGCTTGTGAATTGAATTCTTTCGTTATTTTCATTCTCTCTACCTAAAAGCAGGAGAAATTTTTGAGAGAAAATTCTCCACCAATTTTGGTGGATTCGATTTCAAGAATACGAATTTTTACAAGTAGAAAGTGAGAATTTTCTCTCAATATTTATCACTCCCCGATTTCAAGAACAGACACCCAGGCATTGTAATCTGAAACAACAAAGTTTAGAAAAAAGACCCTTACCAAATCTACTCAAATGTATAAATAATAATTATTTATAAAATAAATTCTCCAAGTTTAAAAACAACCACCAAAAACATGACAAATGACAAGAAAAAATGACAAGTGACAATTGACATAAACATAAATGATCCGAATTCAGATTATGATGTTCACAGTACTTCTCGTGTATATTTTTTTAAGCAAATTACTTTATTACGTTGTGTTAACATAATAGGTAGGTTAAATAGATAAGTAACAAATATAAGTTTTGCGAGGTTTTGATTTCCCTCAAAAACTTTTCATGAACGTTGCATTTACGTTGTATAGTAATGTTCATACGTTCCCTTAAAGCAACATCGCCGAAAGACTTGGGAAAGTTATGTGCTAGCTGGGATAATTGAAAAGGTATGTAAATAACTTTGATCTGAGATATAAAGAACTTTGATATGAGATATAAACACTTTAGTGGACACTTAACTTTTAATATGTATAATGCTTAATGCTAATGTTACTAAAATTTTACTAAAAGTCTCTAGATTGTGGATTGTGATTCGACCTCACAGTAAATTGAAATAAAATCCAAATAATATAGTATTTTTTTTATTAAAACCTATATTTCAGTACAAAAACTATTTAAATCAATAAATAAATAAATTAACTCTTTAATAACGAAAATAAATAAATCAAATTTACACATTCTGTATACCTATGAAAGGTAAAACAAATCACTTTAAATTATTGCGTGATAATTTCAGTCAAATAGGTACCATAAACAAAACATACGCTAGATTCTTCTAGATTCTAGAAAACAGTTTATCGCCATTATTATTACCTTTTACATAACTACGTATATTCATTTTTATTTTAAATTTAATGTAAAAAAAAAATTATGGTATAATAATTGCTGTATATACACAAAAGCTATTAATGGCGAATATTGCAATCTAAATATACAGTAAGCACGTAACATATTCTTTAAATACGCATATTTTTATGACGTCATAATTTTTTGAATTATACCGTTATTTGCCAGTTTTTTTTAAAATGTCACCATTATTTTTTGATAGAACACTATTGAAAAATGTAAATTTTTGGTGCATGAACAACATATTTTGTGTATGTTGCAGCATAATATTTTTGAGAAAAAAGTTTTAAAAATTGTAATGGACGTTTTACAAGAATTATAGAACCCACTAGATATTGTCAATAGATGAATAGCTTGCAATATTTTAAGTTTCCAATTTTATTTCATAGAAAATGACGACATTAAAAATATATGTACCTACCTAAAAAATAAAATCGAGCATTCATTTTTTACATGATCAATACATTTTGTCGAATTTGTTCCAACCTTTATAGTTTCGCTAAAATTATATATAGTCTACGTTGTTGCCTCAATATTGATCTAGTTGCAGCTGTAAGCTTTTACGTGCTCATTGTATAATAAAACGCGATGTATTAACGGTTTCGCTAAATTTAAAGCCTAGGTTGTTGCCTCAACATTGATCTAGCTGCAGCTGTAAGCTTCTGCGATACTAACGATGCAATATGGGCGCTACGCTTCCAAATATATTCTCTGGTTTTATCATGGTCATCGAGACTGTCTACTCTAACCTAAAACATACAAAATAAACAATCATATTACCAGTGTAAAGTTTATGACATTTCGACTCGTGCAACGAAGATTATAGTAACTCATTATTTCTAGTTTTGAGAAAATATAAGATAATATAGTAGGTATTCGTAGTATTTTATGGCCTAAAATGACACACTATATTATTTTATGGTAGTATTTTTGGTTGCCTAATCTCTTCGTTTAGACATACAACTTTTTCAGGTCTAAGCTTTTGGTAAATATATGCGCTGGATAATTGTAACTCAAAAGCTCCCAAAAATGAGTTACTATAGTCTTCATTGCGTGAGTAGATTTGTCCATTTGTCCAGACTTTCTGATATATTCTATTAAGTCAAATAAAAGCTAAAATGTAGACGTGACGCAAATATATCGGATATAATCCATACTTTGATTACTATACGGTGCAAAAGAGAGGTCCGACACGCCCAACATAGGGCGCGGCCATTTTGATTCCTATGCCACAGTTTATAGCTAAAGAATCAGATCGCTCACTCTGCGTCGGCACTTTTGATCTCAATGTTCCAGTTTATACACTGCGCAACTCGGATAATACAATATATGACAACCGCCTATAATAAAACAGCAGTCTTCTGCGTATCCTGAATTTGTATCCCTAGAGTGGATGTTATTTTGGAACTTTCAACTTGTCCGAGTGAGCTAACTGATTCTTTAGCAATAAACTGTGACTCCAAAAATAATTAGGCATTCCAAACAAATGAATTACCAGTGGGCAGGTTTGGTATATCTAAGGGTGGCGACATATGGTGTATTCTATCTACTTTACGTAAAATCATAATTAATGGATTACATTTAAATATTTTATGTCAAACACAATAAAAATAATATTTAAAAAACCCACCTATACATTTCTTCATAAATTAGCAGGCTAGGCGAGTACTACTTCGAATAAAAATAGCGTCCAAGTTGCAAGACTATGTCGCTACCCCCTTAAATATACAAGAATTTCCCACTGGCACCTATTTGTTTGACAGGTCGTTGGAATGACTAATATTCTCTCATTGCGTTCGGTCTGCCACGTTCTTTTAACTCCTTTAACACTTTTTACTCCAAACGACCCTTTTAGCGTTCGGTTTAGTCCGATTAGTGACAGAGTTTAACACGCTTAAATGTCATTTAAAAGCACCCTAAAAAAACTCCGCTTTTGTCTCGCTCCAGCCCCTGACTATCCGAACCAATGAACTGGAGTGGGGTAGAATGCTTATCAATAGGCTTGAGATGCGACCTTGATGCGACTCTATGGGCGAAGATAGGTTATTTTTCATCTCACTCGGGAGTATTTATAACGACCATTTTCTATTTCACTTTGTTATTGTCTGATCCACCAGCCTGTGGATTGAACAATAACAATGTGAAACAGAAAATGGTTATTATAAATACTCCCAAGTGAGATGAGAAATAAAAATGGCTGCGCCCATAGAGTCGCATCTTGTTCAATTGATACAATATGCACATTAGCTTTCTACCCCACTCCAGTTCATTGATCCGAACTCGCCTACTGTGGTAAAGGCATCAAAGTATGTGGTCCTATGATTGAACGTTTACGTTATCCGTAACGTACATGTTAGGCCGAGTTTTAACAGTAACGAGGCAAGTTCGTATGATGGAAAACTTTTTCCAACACATTACTGTTATTTTACGACTGTTATGTTATAATTTAACAGGTTTCCATCATACGAACTGGCCTCTGTACTGTTAAAATTCGACCTAACATGTACGTTACGGATAACGTAAACGTTCAGTCATAGGACCCAATAGATAGGACTTTTTTTATTTTAAATTTGTCCGCAACCAATGACATATATAGTTGATATAGACTGATCATCCATACGTAAATAATAAGATGAAAAGCGGGTCGAACTGGGAGATGTTTTCTCTTTATCTAGTTCATCCAATGTTTGTGTTTTGTCTCAATTGTTTTGTTTTAAGTTTTTTTTAAATAATTGAATATAAAAACTTGTTTTGTTTTTGAATTTAATAGGTGTATTGCTCTATAAAGCGTTGTAAGATCAGCTACAGAAATATAAAAAGTAAGTATCAATACAAGTAGCATTTGTAGGCACAATAATTTGAAAAAATAATTGACACATGTATATTGGGAGTCACCACTTATATTACCCCTTTGTGATCGTATAATGTTTATTATTACTAAAAAATCGGATGATACTAACTTGCTTTGGTTGCAGCACTCTAATAGACTGCAAATTTGCCGAACCTCCGTGAACTATCTTCAAATTTAATCTGCCAAACATTTCAGCTGTTGTGGCTGTAGCTGTCTTCAGTTCTCTTCTGGCGCCTTTTCCGGTCTAAAACAAGAAAACATGAAAATAAGAAAACGAGAAAACGAGTAAACGAGAAAACAAGTAAACGAAAAAACGACAAAACAAGAAAAAAAATGAAAAAAGAAAAAAATAACCACTAATGGTAGGATTCTGGGAAATATCTTATAAGTTATAGAATCTGTAAGATATAGTAATATAACTAATATAATGTAATTTTTTACAGATTTTGGCTTACAGATCTTATAGATTGACTCATAATCGACCCATAAGTCAGATTAAACGGTTCTTTATCTCAAATCCTTACCTCTCGCTCAACTCTCAAAGTCAACGGACCCAAAACAAAGTTCGTCTTGACAGTGGTATGATCACTCTGCATATTAACAACTACATCACCACCCCTTCTGATAGTGCTCAATCCAAACAGTGTAGCTCTGGCGTTGGGTTTGCTTTTCTTGGTCGCTTGCGGAGTTTTGGTCTTGTTTTTTGTTGGTTTATTTTTGTTTGCGCTTGTGCTTGATGCTTTTGTACCATTCTTCTTCTTTTTTGGCTTGTTTTTATTGGACGGCCTTTTTGGATTCGCGCGTACCTCAGAAGTGGTCACTGTGACGTTCTTGATGAAGTTTTGAGAACCGACTTTGGATATTAGGATAAAGGCAGGCTCGCGGGTTTCGCTTTCTGAAATGTACAGTAAAATTTTATTAGAGAGATATTGCAAATTTCTATAACGCCAGCCACTAATAGTGACGTCGTAATTAGAGTCAAATAAATTCCATGCTAAAATCAGACTTATTGCAAATCTGAAATTTTGACATTAGAATCCTTGTCTTTATACTTATTTCTAACCTCATTTTAATAACTTTAAATTATAGTTCATCTTTTTTGTTGTCTCTAATAGTACATAATATTGAAGAGGCATAAGAAATTATAATTTTAGAAGGTCATATTAAATATTTAATATTAAAAAACTTCGAACGGATACGAATGTCGGCGAGCGCCCCCGAAAGCTATAAAGTCGCCTCTATATACTGCCCTTAAACATCCACAATTAAGGACAGACACAATCTTAAATAAAATCAGTTTTAGAACATAAACGAAACGATCTGCGCATGCTTAGATGTCATAATAAGAACGGCACTAATAGTGACTGACCTTAATTGAACTTGCAATAAATCTCTATTAATAGATGAGCGTGATCCACATACTTTGATTTTCTCTTACTATACGGAAAATGGTCGCACTGCGCAGCATTCTGAGTGATACAAATTCAGGATGCGCAGAAGACTGCTGTTTTATTATAGGCGGTTGTCATATATTGTATTATCCGAGTTGCGCAGTGTATAAATTGGAACATTGAGATCAAAAGTGCCTACGCAGAGTGAGCGATTTGATTCTTTAGTTATAAACTGTGGCATAGGAATCAAAATGGCCGCGCCCTATGTTGGGCGTGTCGGACCTCTCTCTTGCACCGTATAGTAATCAAAGTATGTGTTCGATTGATAGTCATGACGTCAAAACAATGTTGGTAACAAGTATTTGTTTCTTCATAAAGCAAGTTATCATGACAACGATGTCAGATGTCACTATTATCATGTGTTATACGTAAACAAATATACAGAGTTGGTCGAAATTGGGGGAATACCCGATTTGTGACTCAATTATGGATTGTACTGAAAATTGACTCAAATCAATTTTTTTCGTATATTTTATGCTCTATTTAATGATGATTTTAGTCAAGATATGACGTCATCAGATGAAATTTTAAATGAATCCCCCTGTATTTATATTTTTTAAGGTAGATCTTCTCTTTAAGCTGTGCAAATAAAAATAAACGGTGTTAAGTATGTTTTTCTCCGTGTACATACCTCCTAGATGTAAAAGTAATATACCGGGTGTTCAAATTAAAGTGTTACAGTTAAATACCGCCGAAAATATGCATTTCAGAAAAAAGTTTCAGACAAAAGTTTTATAGTTTTTTGGGGGAAACATTTTGGCTAAATTCATTTTTTTATAGCTGGCCATAATATGGCCATATCGAGGTGGACTTTTTTTTTAAATTGGAACCCCCTTTTTTTATTGGACTTTTACTTTTTGAGTAACAGCTACTTGAAAATTTTGCTGCGCGTAAAAAAAGTTGGCCATATTATGGTTAGCTATAAAAACAATTTCAGCCAAAAATTTTTCCCCCCAAAACTATAAAACTTTCGTCTGAAACGTTTTTTTTTAATAAAAGGCGGTGTTTAGCTGTAACACTTTAATTTAAACACCCGGTATATGAATTAATATTTAAGTTTTTTCAAGAAAACATTGAGGATATTAACAAAACATATATTTTTGGAGACTTTAACCCACAAAGCACATAGAGGTTCCACGTGAATGACCAAGGTCAAAACCGACAACTGACATTTTTTATGCTATTTGCTCCAAACTCTAGATGGGGCTACTGGTGAAATTATGATTTCTTACTCCATTTTTAAGCCTTATGGGAGAAAAACAACCAAAGACTCCAAAGATGTGACGTGTATTTATTTATGCTCTTGGTTAGTTTCATTTTTCCGTCTGATTTTAGTGATTTTTTGTTGGCTTTGGCTTTTGGTTTCTGTTTATAGTTTCGTCTTAGTTATTTGCAAAATTGTACTGTTTCGCTTTTTTATTTTCTACTATGTTTTGCAATAATTTTGGTGCTACGTTGAAAACTTCGAGAATAACTTCATTGATTCACCATATATTCACCATGCATCTGCATCATAAAAAGACAAACGGGGACAACAACTAATTGATAATCAATTTATCACTGGACTAGATTCCGAAATCTGTATCACCATCTGTATTTGGAAGGAAAATACCTATTTATCATTGAATGAATAGTTAAAAGGATTCACCTTTTAATACAATACCTATATTACATTTGTCCTCAGTTAAAAAGACATTTATAAAATATATAACTTTAGTGTTAATAAAATGTAATATCCTAGTCTCTACTTCACATTTAAATTATTGATAGGTATTTTAAAGATTTGAGATTATATATCTACTTGCTCCAAGTAAGTATTCGTTAAATATGTTTTATTATTTGTATTTATTTTTATCTAATAATATTTATTTAAGTTATTAATAAACATATTTTAAGAATGTTCTATTTTATTATTTATTGATATATCTTATATTTATTTAATAAAAATATGCAGAACCAACTCTCTACATTAGACCCCTTATAACAAATTAATTCTTCAAATTTGGTATAATCGACCTAAATTATTTTGTAAAATAAAAGTTTCGAACTTACTAGTTCCATACTTTATTTTATAAAATAATTTATGTGGAAATCATTTAAAACTTAAAACTACTACCTACTCCTAAAAATTACAATTTGAATTTACCGCCATCTGTCATTTTAGTTCCAGCTCCAAACACAAGGTGGCGCTAATTTGGTTTAAAAGTTTAACATTGGCGTGGGGTCTCTAGAAGATACATGCTTTGTGCTTTAACCTATCTGAAATTAGCGGAATAAATGATAAATTTCCAATTAATAAAGACGTCTTAAATTCTTTATGATTTTTTTGATTTTAATAGTTTAGGATTGTATAATGATATAACAAATGGTCAAGGGAAAACATTAGATCTAGTTATTAGTTCTTTGAATAATGGAATACATTGTTCTGTTAGGAAGAATTATTTTCCAAATGCCAATGAAGATTTCAATCATCCTATAATAATAAGGTTAACCATGATATATTGCTTCAAAAATTAAATACTTTTGGATTATCCGACAAGTTGTTAAATCTGATAAAAAAATATTTGGAAAATAGATCATTTATTGTAGAGCATAACGGTAATATGTCAGGTAAGTTTTCAGCTAATTCAGGTATTTCACAAGGATCTAATCTTGGCCCCCTATTGTTTATACTTTTTATAAATGATCTGCCTATGGTTTTAAAATATTCAGACTGTTTACTTTTTCCAGATGATTTTAAAATATACAAACAGGTACAAACTGTGAGGGATTGTGTAATGATATAAAAGGAAATTCATAATTTGTATGAGTGGAGTCAAAGAAACAAACTTTATTTACACGTTTTAAGGATCCAGTTGTCTCTAATTATATGATGAATAATGAAATATTAAAGAGAAATGAAGAGATTAAAGATCTAGGTGTTACTTATACTAATCAGTTATCTCTTGCTCCTTACATAAAAAATGTAATTAATACAATAAAAACTATCTACTTTAGTTTAGTCAGATCTAAATTAGAATTTGGCTCTCTGATTTGGTCAAGTGAGTATCAAACTCATTTGAATAAAACTGAAAAGATCCAAAATAAATTTCTTAAAGATCTTTATTACAAAAAGTATCATATCAGAGTTGATTATAATTGAATAGGTCTAGCCAACTTCGAAACGAATCTTTAGGCAACTGATATTCTTTCTCTAATCAGATTCAATGTTCCACCACGCAGAACTAGGACGTCAGCTATGTTTAATATACCGACAATACATTTAATGAACAGAATTCCTCTAGTGACCATGTTTCGTTTGGCCAACAATTTTAATTCTCTTATTGAATTGGACTGGAATGGTCCACAAAATATTTTTCGCAATGCCATGCTAAATCATATTAACCTTATACGGTTAACGTAAATATAATTAATTGAAGTAAAGTAAACATACCTCTTTAGTTTTAATAGCTTTACCTCTTACCTTAGATGTAAATAATTTGTATTTTTGTAATTATACAGGGTGTCTGTAAAAGGTCTTTACAAAATCATACCACATATTCCTTAGACCAAAATAAGTCGATTTAAGTAAAATTACCTTAGTACAAAGTTGCTTCGTTTGGGCTCCAGAGGGCCTTGAAGTTACAATTTTTAAATCGTTTTCCTCATATAAATTTAAAACGGCATATGCGATTTTGCTGAAATTTGGTATATTGGTAGTGTTTTATGTGGCAAAAAAATGGTATTAAAATTTTGTCCGATAATAATACATAGGCGTAGAACTTGATTTTTTAAATAATTGCACCTTTAAAAATTCTACGCCAATGGAAGAAAAGGAGTTTGAGTATGAAATTTAGATTGCGCAACTCATTTACTTTAAAAAAGGTACTCTTGATAAGACTCGATTACTCTCATGGTTTTGACGAAATTTGCATTTTAGTAATTTTAGAACATAAACAATAATTATTAAAATACAAACTTTGTCAAAACCATGAGGGTAAATCAAGTGTTATCAAGGGTACTTTTTTGTAGTAAATGAGTACCCAATCCAAATTTCATGCTCAAACCCCTTTTCTGCCATTGGCGTAGAATTTTTAAAGGTGCAATTATTTAAAAAATCAAGTTCTACGCCTATGTATTATTATCGGACAAAATTTTATACGATGAAAAACATAAAAATGTACTTTTTTCATATCTTCTTCAACACCTCTAATCGAGACTTTTAACAAAAATACTCGATTCTTGCCATGTACGATTTTTTAAGGAATATTAATTATTTGCCTGCAATACGTATACAATAGTATATTATGCAACGATCATGTAATGATGGTTATTAATACACGAGCATTAACCGGGATACGAAACGAGCCAAAGGCGAGTTTCGTATGGTTTATGCGAGTGTTTTAATAACCATTACATGAGAGTTGCATACGCTATTTTTTCTACACCCGATAAATAATCAAGACCTATAAATATTATATTTATATTGGTATTGAACACAATAACAGTAATTACTCGTATTTCTATAAAAAATTCTACAAAATTGTAATTAATGGTATTACTTCAGGTATTGGTATTTCCCTAGATTTTTGCGGTAAAATATTTTGTACTGTATTTTCTGCTTTCTCCGATATGTGTGGAGGAGTCTTCTATATCGCTAATATCAGACATTTTAATATTATAATTATCGAAGTTTAGCTACCTACGAAAATTTAATACGTTTTGACAACTAAAATAATTACATAGGAACCTAGGACAAACGTCAAACAGCATGCTTGATTGAAAAATTGTAGGTTTCTATTGATTAAAAATCTGTATCGTAATGAAAAATCTGTATCATAATGGGTATCATTATGAAACGGATTATGGGCATATAAGTGCATTATTATAATACGGGTGTAGAAAAAACCATTTATTGTTGGTTTCCATAGTTTCATCTAAATAAAAATATTGTCAAGTTTTAACACCTAATCTCTTGTTAACGATTGAAAGTGTTCTATCTGACTCAATAATTAAAAAAACAAATGCGTCGTTTATTAATATAGCTGTACAATATACCAATGCAGAATATACCGATATGTTACTGACATTAGGATTTTGTTAAGGAAATGCTCTAGAGAGTGTTAGGGTGTACCTACTCTGAAATGTTTCCAAATCGTCGTGTACCTAGCCACCCAACTTTTGCTGCTGTTGAGAGACGTCTTCGAGAGACCGGTTCCTTTGCTCCCAACACTGTTGATAATGGAAAAGAACGTTTTGTAAGGATTCCTGAAGTTGAAGAAGACATTTTAGAACGTGTTGAAGAAGATTTAGAATCAAGCACCAGACGAATTGGAAGGGAACTAGGAGTAAGTAAAGATGTCGTTCATAAAGTGCTTAGAGAACAATTGCTATATCCATACCATAAGAAGCCAGTACAAGAATTATTAGTCCATGATCCTCAAATTCGTTTGGGTTTTTGTCGATTTGTTAATATGCAAAGATAAAGAGATCCATACTTTGTCAAGAAGGTTGTCTTTACCGATGAAGCGGGTTTTACAAGAAGAGGTATAACTAATACCCATAATGAACATGTTTATGCCGTTGAAAATCCGCATGCAATAAAGGTAAACCATTTTCAGCACGAATTCAAAATTAATGTGTGGGCTGGAATAATTGGTAATTTCATTGTTGGTCCTGTCATACTTCCACGAAGATTAACTGGAGAAAATTTTTTGGATTTTCTACAAAATACGTTGCCAGAATTGTTAGAAGATTTACCTCTCCAACTTCGGAGAGATATGTGGTTTATGCAAGATGGAGCTCCACCACATTTTTCTTTAAACGTTAGAAACCACTTGAATGAACAATATCCACACAAATGGATAGGCAGAAGTAATGACGCACCTGTAAACTGGCCACCACGTTCCCCAGACCTAACACCGATGGAATACTTTTTATGGGGACATCTGAAATCCACAGTTTACAGGGAACCTGTAGAAAATGAGGAACAACTCTGGCAACGTATTCAAGATGCAATAAACAATCTTAGAGCTGATGAAGAAGTTATGGAAAGGATACATTTTAATTTTCTTCGACGTATAAATCTTTGTATGCGTGAAAATAGTGAACATTTTAAACAATTTTTGTAAAATCTCTATTTTGATTATGTTGTAAATAAATATTTTTGTGAAACCTATAGGTACACTCTAAATTATTAAAACAGAAATTTAGCGAAAACCATGAGAGTAATCGAGTCTTATCAAGAGTACCTTTTTTAAAGTATATGAGTTGCGCAATCTAAATTTCATACTCAAACTCCTTTTCTTCCATTGGCGTAGAATTTTTGAAGGTGCAATTATTTAAAAAATCAAGTTCTACGCCTATGTATTATTATCGGACAAAATTTTAATACCATTTTTTTTGCCACATAAAACTCTACCAATATACCAAATTTCAGCAAAATCGCATATGCCGTTTTAAATTTATATAGGAAAAACGATTTAAAAATTGTAACTTCAAGGCCCTCTGGAGCTCAAACGAAGCAACTTTGTACTAAGGTAATTTTACTTAAATCGACTTATTTTGGTCTAAGGAATATGTGGTATGTTTTTGTAAAGACCTTTTACAGACACCCTGTATATGTGTATTCATGTAATTAGGCCGAAAGGCTTGTTTGAATAAGAAAATAAATAAATAAATAAAGACAAGTTCGGATTGATCTTATTTATAAGACACAGTCAATAAATATTAAAAAAAAATTAGTTATAATTACCAACCTATCAATTTTGGTTCGTTTTCAATTTGATTTCCTCTGGCTATAACCAATTCTCCCATTTTATTCGACATATGCACTGGGTTATTTTTCTTCTGTCCATTCCGCTTCTTATTCTTGTTCCTGTTTTTATTCTTCGTATTTCCTTTGGTGTTCTTTTTCGTCTTTTTGGCTTTGTTGTCGAGTGATTGGAGTTTGACTCGTACGGGGTCGTAGGATTTACCCAAAATTGTATTTATGCGACCGATGACGGTGTCGACGAATCTGTTGTATTTCGAGATGTATATGGCAGGCATTTTGGGTTGACCCATCGGCAAAGCACCTGGATAATTGGTATAAACTGTTAATATTGGTTCTACGGGACGCGGATCCTTAGAAAAATTCGACTTTATAAAATTTAAACAAGAAAATGAAAGCATCAATCACTTCAATATTTACTGAAAGCAACCAGTGTGTATAATACAGACTAGTTTAAATTTGCAACCATTTCCAAGTTCCGGAACTAGTAAATTTATACGAAAATGGCGCTTTTGTTTATAATATTGAGAAAACAATTGAAAAAGTTCTGCAAACTTGAAGCAATATACAGTGCTTCTCAAAAGTTCCCTCTCCCCTTTTTTTCTTTTGAACGGTGATACTTAAACTGATGAATTTCGAGGATGAAATGGAATTATTGTAAGCTTTTCTACAAGTGGTAGCAGGTGAAGTAACAGGCATCGGTGACGTCACCAGGCAAGTGATACCAATAATATTAAATGGGAACTTATTTTAACCATCCAAAATATCGTAAATCCAAAAAATATGGTTTGATTGAATAGGTATTCTTAATATCTTTCAAACGAGGTGTCACTTGATATAAGGTCCCATTTAATATCATTAACTTCAGTTGCCTGGTGACGTCACCGATGCCTATTACTTCACCTGTTACCACTAGTAGAGAAGCTTACAATAATTCATTTTCACCCTCCAAATTTCAATAGTCTAAGTATTACTGTTCAAAAGAAAAGAGGGGGAGAGGGGAACTTTTGAGAAGCACTGTATATTGTATTATTTTCAACATTATATCAGATTTACAACTTTTTTGAAAGTTCGGAACATGATTTTTTTTTGTAAAATAGCGTTTTTGTTCATATCATAAACAAAAAATTGCAAAGGTGCTGCCTTGCTGCAAACCGATGACTCGTGCAATTTGCAATCTTTTATTTTGCACGAAAATATTTTTTTTGCTAAACATATATCAAACTTATTTTTTATTGTCCTCTAATTTTATCAAAAAAAAAAAAAATGCAAAAGTTTTGAAAATGTTATTATTTTTCTTAACAATCTGGTAACATAACATTTTTGTGTGTCATTTAATAATGTTTTGTTATTTACTCGGCCTTATAACTGAAACCTAAAATTGACAAATGAAAAAATAAAACTATACCTGTAAGAAGCTCTTAGCTTTTTCTCATTATTATTTACAGAAAAATATCCATAATTTCTATAATTTTTACAACGATAAAAATCTAATGAAAAACCGTTTGCAATCACAGTAGTTAATGTGATAAATACCAACCATTTTTTTTTAGATGTTTGCTGATGCAATTATCATTGAAAAACGAATGAATATTTAAAAATTATTGATATAAATTTTGCAAATGTCCTTCATGTTTAAATATTAGTTTTGTGACGGTGTTACTATTGGGCTTACATATTTGAAGACATAAGTGGATGAAGAGCCTACGTAACAAAAACATAATTTAGAGATATTTGAGTTTAAAGTTTCTTCTTTGAATAATTCAACATATAACATAGATTCTATATCCCCTCGTAGCATATTTATTTGAAAGAATATTATAACAGATCATAGTTATAATGAATTTTAGATATATAGGCCTTTCATTTATGCAAAAACATCGATTAACAAAAATGTACATACAAGTTTTATCCACTCATATCTTCATTTATGTTTTGATCCAAGTTTTTTTTAATATCAGAAATAGTATCTGTAAATAGTTCTGTCTAGAGCAGCCATACTCAACCTGCGGCCCTCCAAGCTGTTTTGTGCGGCCTTCCAAGCTTTTCTGTGCAGCACCAAACACTATTATTAGGAATAACCTACAGTCCTTTTTTGAAACAAATTGTGTGCTTTACTTACATTTCAAAATGGTGGCAACTCAGGTTATCACCCAAAAATATTGTGGCCCGTGTAGCATAACAAACACGTTTATGTGGCCCTAAGGAACAAAAGGTTGAGTACAGCTGGTCTAGAGTGACTGCCCTGATATTTGAATAAATATTAATTATTTTTAACAATATATTTCTGATAACCGATAACTGCAAATTAAGAAATGTTTCTTATTAAAATTTCTGTACGTTAACATATACGTTAATATATAACAATAATATAACAACTATACAAGGTATTTTCTTAGTTTAACCTCGAAAATACCTGTTAGGGTCGATGATCACGAACGTTTTTTAGCAGTCGCGTTAACGCCACGTTGACGCAAACGCAATGTTTAATTGACACGCAGCGCTTTTTGTCTTCTGTCCTAAAACAAGGCAGAATAAATTCGTCTCACGATCAGAAAAGATGGATGTAAGTTCGAAAAAAGAAGTGATATTTGTACTTATATCTTGTTTACAGTTTGTGAGGAAGAAGAGGAAATACTGGGTGTATCCTTATTTAAGTTCCCGTTTACTAAAGGCTAAAAGGTGCTTTCATATTAAGCTTTTTGACTCAAGAAATAATGATGAATATATTTTTTTAAATTATGTTCGTATATGCTCATTGATGAACTGAATTTAATGCTTAAATAAAACAAGATCATTTAGGAATGTTCCTTTATTTCTTTTAGAATAATTTTGTGTCGAATTGCTCATCGCCTATAGCTACTACGTTTTTCTACCACCTTTCGTGTGGAATTCTTGATACAAACTAATATATCTTTGCAACGCCAATGTACCGCTGAGACGTGGCGTCGAGAATGTACCCTCTGACTTTATTGAATGTATTTCGACTCCACCGATCGTTGCGTCGACGCGACTGCAACCAGGGTTGTTCCAAGCTACACAATTGTGTAATTTTCTACACAGTTGATGTATTGATTGCACAGGTGCACCCGAATGGTCAATTTCATCTGTTTACTGCACTATTAATTAAACTACATCAAAAAACTACACAATTTAAAAATAAAAAAAAATAAAATAGCAAATTTTTTTCGCTCTAATACTGAAATCACGAATCACGTGTTTGACTTTTTTGTTTATGCATTCACCACCATCTAGCGCTTAGTTTACAAAGTTACATACATTACATATGCTATTGTATTGCTGATACAGATTATATAATAATTATTGTATTATTCTCTGGCAGATGACGATTTAGTCAGAAATTTTTCGGTATTGTCATTATGGAAATGGGAAATTCCTCGAATTTTATTCTTGTTCGGCATGATCTGAGAACGTACGTAAATGTAAGTCGTAAGTTATGTTCTCAGACATACACTGTGATTGCGTGATTGCCTTGTGAATAACGGATCGGTAAGTTTTTGGCTTGTAACTTATAAATAAATGGTTAATATTCTCTAAAAATAATATACCTACATAAATAAAATAATATCAATCTGTAAATATGCCAAAAAATGTTTTAACTACAATTTCACCAAAAATCCAAGATATCCAATAATCTTTGGTTATGTCTAGACTTTCGTCAAATTTTCGACTTTAATGCGCAAACTCTAGTACAATTCCCATTGGAAAACACAATTTCCAATGCTCGTAAGCAGGGGAATATTTTCCCATACTTCTCATTGGAAAATATTCCACCGCTTGTGTTGAGAATAGAAAACTGAATTCCCATGGGAAAATTTTATTTTCCAATGGGAATAAAACTCGAGAATTGAGTCCCTGGTGTTGTATTCGCTCCAGATCATTTTTTAAATTTTTTTATGCAGCGTTGGCCATCTATCGGCGGAGATGGGTCACTAATGCCAACCCATCTTGGATTACATCACTGTCAGTATTATGAAGCACATACTTTGATTACTATACGAGGCAAGAGAGAGGTCCGACACGCCCAACATAGGGCGCGGCCATTTTGAACCCTGTGACACAGTTTACAGCTAAAGAATCAGATCGCTCACTCTGCGTCGGCACTTTTGATCTCAATGTTTCAGTTTATACACTGTGCAACTCGGATAATACAATATATGACAACCGCCTATAATAAAACAGCAGTCTTCTGCGTATCCTGAATTTGTATCCCTGGAGTGGATGTTATTTTAGAACTTTTAACTGGTCCGAGTGAGCTAACTGATTCTTTAGCAATAAACTGTGACTTCAAAAATAATATTCACTGACACTGACAGCAGCAAGCAAAATATCAGGTGCGTTTTAATCATCCGCTTCTGCTTCCGGAATTATCGGTTTAGACGTTTTAATCTGTCAGATTAAAACAAGAAAACCGACAATTCTGAAGCAGAAGCGGATGATTAAAACGCACCTATTAAAAATATTGCGCCAAGATGTAGGCAACACGTAATAAGGGTTCAAAATGGCGGAGTTTTCTATCTCCTTTTAAAAGGCACTCAGAAAGCTGCGCAGTGCGACCATTCTCCGTATTGTAAAAGAAAATCAAAGTATGTGATTATGAAGACTTTCATAGTCAGTAGTGTCAATTTCCACTTTTATGTCAAATGTCTGAAACTGTACAATTTCATTGTGGAAAAGTTCACATCTAAAAACTGACCTGGAACAACCCTAACTGCAACAAACGCGAGCACTGGCTCCGCATAAAATTGCATTTTTGTTAAGAAAAATTAAATTTACATTATTTGAAACCAATTTTAAAAACTTTTGCATTTTTTTTTTTGATAAAATTAGAGAAAAATAAAAAATTATTTTACTTTTACAAAAAAAATAAAAGATTGCAAATTGGAATAGCTGTTCTAAAAACTAGTATGCGGCACTTTTGCAATTTTTTTGTCTATGATATAAACAAAAACACTATTTTACAAAAAAATCATGTTCCGGACTTTCAAAAAAGTTGCAAATCTGATATAATGTAGAAAATAATACGTTTGTAGTTTAAGAAAGTTATAATAAATTTTAATTTTTTGGAATTATTAATGTTCCAGACCTCAGAAAAAGTTGTAAAATTAAATTTACAATCATTTCAATTTAATAAATATTCAAAAAAAGTTTGAAAACTTTTGTAGTGAATTGATTATCTCTAATGACTGGACTATTACAATAATTTCGATTTTCAATAATAAGTCAAATTTTTCAAAGGGCCTACGAAATTAATAATAACCGATAAAACGAAGTTTTTATTTCTGG